GGGTGTCTTCACTGTTACTTTCAGCAACTTGGGCAGGTCAGAACTCTTTCTCATGCTTACCATCACTGTACCCTACCTATTTTTCTGTATTTTAGCACTCTTTAAGCTCAATCCTTTAGAATTTTATTTCTGTGGCATTTGGTCTTAATCCTTCCAGCCTAGCTTTTAAGCAATCTTCTCTTCCTTTAAAATACACACTTATATATGTCTTACCTTACTCATTTCCTGGCTTGAATTACATGATTGTAATATCATGAACAAATTTTAAGACCTGTATATTCCATTTCAGATATTCAGAGTTTAGCCATGTTACCAAGTGCTCCATCTATTCATCTTTCAGGTCCAGTATCAGAAAGAAAACTTCTGGAAACAAATATTTTTTCTCCAGATTCATGTCCTCTCATGTGTCTCACTGGCAGTGATATGGCTGAGCTACTCAAGACTGTTCCTGCTTATGCTCTTACTTTTTAGAAGGTATGGGTGTATATGGACAAGGTATTGCAAGTAGGCCCATATTTTTTAGTCTCTGAGACTTTCCAGTGTAAAATGATGTCAAAGCAGCTTGTCTGAGACATGGATGCTGTTTTTTCAATGTGGATGGATATAGCTGTCAGCTACATGAGCATTTAAGCAGGGATAAATACACTGGGGTGTATTCTGGGCGAGGAATGCACAAGACAGCACTTAGACCTTGATATGACTCAGCTTTCACCACATCAGTATCATGCAACTGAAACTTTTCTGGTGCTTCTTGATTCCTTGCTAGCTTTACTTTCCTTATGCTTATGACATCCTATTCAGAAGAAGACCTGAGAGTGCTGGAAACAGCTGATGCAATCCCCACTAAGGGTCAATGCATGGACACACCCATGCATACTCTACATTCTGCTAAAGAATCAAGTGGAAAAAAAGGAAAAAAGAAAGATGGTAATATGGTGTACGCTGTTACTTGCTATTATATGATTCTTCTATTGCATTGTGTCAGCAATGCTGTCACTATCAGAGCAGAACAACAGAGAAAGACTTTGACAAGGTTTATAAACTTTTGGTGAGGATGGACCCCCACTGTTCCCAAGACCATCCGTGCTAGGCAGAGGTAGTCTTCCCCTCCACATTTTTAAGACCAAAAAATACACACCAAGTCCTCAGCTTCACAGCCTTCTTAACATCCTGCCACCTCCCATCCCTTCTAAGCATGTTGTCATGTGTGTTTCTATAGCAGGAGGACAGCTGTCCAGTTCTTTTATTCATGGTATATCAGTCTGAAGCAACTACAGTTGTCTGCTTGATGGCTCAGAGTTCCTGTTATTCTCACAAGAGTGACCTGGTGTCACTCTCATATTCAACAGCACTCCATCAACTAGTCTGCCATCCTCTGTGCTGCAGCTAGAGTCTTCCTCATTGTACTCTCTTTTGTGGGAGTGCTCTGTGAGACCCCATGAGGGACACACAGCCTCACTGTTTAGCCAAGATAAATGCCCATAATTCTTGGAGCTTCTGAGAAGGCAGTGTGTATTTTTGTGAATGCTCTGGATAAGCCCCAGAATGCCCATAATTCTTGGAGCTTCTAAGAAGGCAGTGTGTGTTTTTGTGAATGCTCTGGATAAGCCCCACAGGCTTGAATCTTATATTTTACAAATCAAATATTTCCTTTCTGTCCCTTCTACCTGATGTGCAAATACAGCTATTCTTGAGAAAACTCGGGCAATGTTAGCAAAGATATATACTTCCACACTGTCCCTGCCTTCAATAACATTATCTGAAATACAGTTCTTTGCTGGGAAGACTATTCAGGGAGACATGTAACTCTAAATTTCTTCCATGTCAGTGAATATGAACTATATCAGTGTCTGGTACTCAGAGCTGCCAGGCAGGCCTGCTCAGGGGCTTCTGAAAAATAATGCTGCTGTGCCCTATGCCAACAAGTAAGTTCTCCCTAAGTTTTCAAGGAGGGAAAAGCCTCTTAGGATTAGTGCAGTTATCCATGATCTGTCTTGCAAGCACTCCAAGCAGTCAAACAAACCAACCTCAGTTTCTTCAAACTGCTAGACCATGACTGCAAGATCTAGACAGCTGTCCTAATACTAGTATTTCAACAGGGTTCCTCTTTGTATTACAATCTAACAAGAAATGTCAAGTTTATGTCCCAGATACCTGGCTTTATCTCTGTAAAGTTACTGATTTTTCTGGTTGGAGACCATTTTCCCATTTTTTCTGCTCTTGAAGGCATTTTTTTTTTCCATGTTAAGGACAGAGCTCAGGCAATACTATTGGCCATAGAAAGAGATTAACTGTTGCTGTCCTATTTACAAAGAGTCTCACACTGAGCATCAGAGTGTGTGAAAGAGTGCTTCTGGGCTGTAAGAGGAAACTACATTTCTTTTAGGGCCTTTGCCAAAGGTGACCTTCCTTTGGGATGTGCCAAAAATTCCCATTTGAAGAGAATCTAGATGGGGCCCTATTAAATCTTGTGCTAAGCTTTACAGACTTACTGAAGTATCTGGGAGCAATACTATGTCCAGAAGTGCTGTCTGTAAGAGGGTTTTTTGAAGACATGTTTTCATTGGTTCTGTACAGGAAGAACCAATAAAAGGAGAAAGAATGGATGCCTGTTTGCAGCTTTTCCTGTAAATGTGCATATTTTAGGCAATACATCTCCATTAATTCCTCCTACACCTCTTCCTTCGTAGTCTAATTGAATACATAGATTCTTAGAATGAAAGGAACTAAAATGACTGGCTCATATACCCCTAGTTTTTAAGCACATGGAGAGAGAGGAGAAGGATGTCTTTAAAGATAATGCCAAAGTTAAAATAAAGAAATGAAAATACTAACAAAACTAACAGTGATGACAGAATAGTTTCTACAATGTTATCACAGGTGAAGGCAATGAATTTGGAAGAACTGCTACAGTTCTGTTTTTATCAAACTGTTCAATTCCCACAGATCCCATTTCCACAGAAGCTATAAGGAATTCTGCCATTAATATCAGCAGGAGTAGAGCTAGTCTTGCAATGCTTACTGTGGACTTTGATCCTGCTGATGCTTATGTTTAGGAATAGGCATACTGAGCTTGTGCATGAAGTTAATCACCTGTGTGAATGCTTGCAGATAGACTATCAGACTCTGATCCTACAAATATTCATGCTTGAACTCCACTTCACACATAACAGTGTTCATGCTTATTATGTTTTCTGTAGTTTCAAAGCCTCTTGGTGAAGGAGACTATCACCTACACTGTGCTTTGAATTAGGGCCTGTACTTTCTTCACTGCCTCATACTGCGTTGTGTAGGGTACTTAGACAAAGCAAATCTTCCTGAGGGGAAATGAAAGCAAAGTTACTTTCTCATGCTTTGAACTCATTTATTTGTGTGTTGCTGCATATTTAATTTTGGAAGAAATTGTAATCTATTAAACATGCAAAGCCTGAAAGAGTAATTTTGCTGCTCCTGAGAGAGTATCTTAGGGTAATGATATTTCTAATAAATGGCTTATATATTTTTCATAATTTTTATGTCAACCAAATTTTGAACAATGAGACTGAAATTACAAATGTGGGTAGACAATATTATCTTATTCAAGAAAATGTGCCTGCTCAACTGTGTAAAAGGATACATGCTGCCTTTAGTAAACCATTTCTAAGGCTTTTCAGTTAAAGCTGTGAACTGGTAATGATGCCTGTCAATTGATGAAAGAACCTATTTCAACTACAGATAGGATGTTTTTCGTGATTTTGTTTAAACAAAATGTCTCCAAAGGAGCATTTCTTTGGGAATATGACATATACCCCTTTCTATCATGGCTTCCTGCTACGCAGTGCTTATCATTACATTTCCTATATAGTAATTACATAAATAACTTTAATTAGAGAAGGAAATACCAGCTTTTATTCTTGTTCTCACTGGTTTACATGCAATGAGGTGTCATAGGAATGGTTCTCTGGGTTTTATGATCTTCTAATTGTACTTGTTGTTGAGTGCCATTTTGTTCTTATTGCCTACTGCTCACAAATGGATTTCTCAATTTCATCCTGCCTAGTTTTTGAGAAATGCCATCAAGGTATGAAGAGACTAACAATGAAAAGGAAATTAGTAGCTGGGGGCAACTGCATCAGAAAAATTACTATTCTGTTTTTACTACAAACAGTAGCATCAAATGTGAAAATAGACTTTCAAACTAATTAGCATTTAAGGGAAATGGGTTTGAAATAGTTATCAGATTGCTTTTAAGCAGCTATGTTTACAAGTGCATCTCTGCTTTCTATTAATTCCTTGCTAGAGAGAAATAACAAAGTACACACTTTTAGTTTTAAGTCTGTTCTATGTTCATGCTTCTTGACAAATAAAGGATCAGAAAAATAAAAACCCAATGGTATTGCCCGGTTCCTCACAGGTCCAGTGCAAGGTGCCTATTCTTCCCAAAGGCAAAGAGATTTTTATTGATCCTATGTACGTGGGAGAATAAGCATACTCCATCTCATACGCCAGTATCCTTCATGTGAGGGACCTCTGAGGAGACTGTACCTAAGGCCTGTGTACATCCACTAGGACATCTCTTTGAAAGCCAGTGGGGCTATGTCCAGTCTACTGCAGCTAAAAATGGATGTAAAGAGACCAGGTCTGATATACTCTTCATTGCTATTCATACCTCTAGCACAATTTCACATACTTTTTGTCTTTCTGCTCTATCTAGTGCTTTCCAAAGTGACTGGCATAAGTGATCAGTGTCAGAGAAGAAATACATCAGTTTCTTGGGACCTCCAAGTTTTCAAATAATCTGAGCACCCGAAGTACTAAATCTTTTATTATAACCCATTTCCCCATGAGCATTCCAAATTGCAAAAAAAAGAAATAAACAAATCATTCTTTATTGTCTTCTTCCTGATGATAATAGTTGCAAAAGAAAAATAACAAAACTTAAGAAGGCTACACTGCTGCTATGATAAATGAGTAATCTTTGCACATTTGCATCTACTTTCTTTAATATTTTTCACATACAGATACTTCATCGATTGGAAGAATGATGTGGACAGCTACTTTACAATAGATGCTATTGAAGGGACCATTGCTACTAATGAATTACTGGACAGAGAAAGCACAGCACAATACAATTTCTCTATAATTGCAAGTAAAGTTAGTAAGTATGACACAAACTGAATTAATATGCTAATGTGGTTTTTTTTTTTTCAGAATGTAGTGCTCAGGCATAAATATAATGTGAAAAGTGCATGTGTTCCCAAGAGCTTGTTTAAGAAGGTTCAATAAATATCATTTTGCCAGACTCATTTTAAGGCGGTGATGTTCAAATAGCCTTGTATACTAAGGTTTTTCTAGCAGACCTCACATAGGCAGAGTTCCCTCAAAAGCTGGAAAACATTTTGTCAGCACGAGGAGCTAGATGGAGGCTTTCCAGTTCTGATTTCTGAGTTTGCAATTTGTTCCAAATGAAATTAGGTTAGTCAAATGACATGTTTGCCTATGTGCTTTTTGAGGGCAAAAAATTTTAAAGAACTATTTGATTCTCAGACTAAAAAAATACACTAAAATTGAGTTGAGATTAAATGCCCTAAACTAATTAATCTATGTGCTGCATCTCTGTTCTTGTCTCTTCTCTGCCTAAGATTTAATGCCTAATCCCTTATTTTCTTTTCCTATGTGATTTGTACTGGAATATTTTAATTTCTTGTCTTTGTGTCTTCTGCACAGATTTTTTATTAATAAGAAGTCCCTTCTTCTGCTACATTATGTAGCTGCAACTTTCTTCATTGCCATCCTTCTGTGTAGCATTTCTCATTCATGATTCTGTCAAACTGAAACTCTCATAGGCATATCCCAGCCTTTGAATGCAAGTGTTTTGGTCACTTAGTGGTGTGTAAAGGCCACAGAAGTCTTTCTGTTGACATCAACAGGTTGTAGAAGAGGACCCCTGCCACATATCTTATACATTCTCTGTTTTTTATGTATCCAGATGTTTCTATAGCAAAGAGCATGCTTTCCTCAATGCTTGTCCGAGTCTTCAAAAAGTAATACATGCTACTAGCAGGAAGCGGGAGATTTTGGATGCAGAGAAGGCATATATCATTTCAGATTAAATTTTCAGTTGTAGTTCTCTCAAAAAAAACCATGGGCTTAATCCCTGGAACCTGAAAATATAATGGTAACACCAGTCAACTGAACACTTCAATTTTATCCATAGCTTGGAAAAAACATACACTAACAGAGAAGACTAAACTGTCATAAGTGATTGAGTTCATGGAGATACATGTGCATGTGTGTATTCACAGAAAGTCCAGTAGGACTGTAATTTGTTTCCAGAGAAACTGAAAAGCAGGTAGGTACAGAAAGAATGTCTCATAATGGTCTATGTTTCAGTAAAGCTTAACTATTTAGATTTAGTGGTAGACAAAGACATCTGAGATTTGTAAGTTTTTTTCCAGCTGTAAGGCAGCAGTTCTAATAAACTTGATGTAAATCTCTTTATTATTCCCAGGAGTAATTAAAGCTAGAAAAAACCTTGAAGGTTATTTTTCTGTGCATCTTCCTGACACATGTACAGCAGTATTGTATTTAAGAAGAGTGGCCAGGATGCCATTGGCCTTCTTAGCCACCTGAGCACACTGCTGGCTCATGTTCAGCTTCCTGTCTATCCAAACTCCCAGGTCCCTTTCTGCCTGGCTGCTCTTCAGCCACTCTGTCCCCAGCCTGTAGTGCTGCATGGGATTGTTATGGCCAAAATGCAGGATGTGACACTTGTCGTTGTCAAACTTCATCCCATTGGAATCAGCCCATCTCTCCAGCCTATCCAGGTCCCTCTGCAGAGCTCTCCTGTCTTCAGCAGATTGTCACTCTCCCCCAACTTTGTGTCATCTGCAAACTTGCTATGGTGCACTCAATCTCCTCATTCTTTACTGTGAGGATAGTGAGGCACTGTAGCAGGCTTCCACAGAGAAGTTGTGGGTACTCTATCCCTCAAAGGGTTCAAGGCCAGGTTGGATGGGGGTCTATCCCTCAAAGCGTTCAAGGCCAGGTTGGATGGGTCTTTGGGGCACCTGGTCTAGTGGAAATTATCCCTGCATGTGGTAGGGAGTTTGGAATTAGATGATTTTTAAAGTTCCTTTCCATCCAAACCATTCTAAGATTCTATGACTTATGCCTAAAGATTCAAGAAAACCAATCTTGTACTTAAACATGGCCCCATACTGTCATTCCTACACCACCCTGATTGATAGCATAGATTTCTTGAATAGTTAACTGTCTGTCACTCTTCTTAAACACAAAAGTATAAAACAATTATTATTTTGACTCTCCAGCTAAACTGTTTTTCATGTATTTACCATCTTGCAAGAGTTTTCAACATAAAGGAAAAGAGAATATTGCCTGTTTTGTATTGACTTTGTATCCCCAACATTGCATTTGCAGGTAAACTTGTTTATAAATGCATCTATGACTGATGAAGATTATCTGCATTGGCGGGACAATGCAATGAAACATAACACATACTGTTTAGCATTTCTTTTGCACAAAAGTATTTACTGCTTGCAAACACTTATGTAGTTAAAGAAATAACTTTTATAATGTAGCCTAATGGTTTAACCAAAAGTCGAATACTAGCTGTACATATTTCACTGCTAAATTTAGCACTGACTCTATCTGGCTTTCAGCAAATATTTTTTTCATATCTTTCCCTTTTACCTTCCTCCATCGTCTAAATTGGTATGCTCCACTTACCTCCGTAATATCTTGAAGATATAAACAATGGCTAAGCAATAAATATTGATTTTCTGCATTCAGTTGTGGAAAATAGAATTCAGTTTAATAACTGGAAGTGTTTTCCACAGACTCCATGAAAAGTGATCCGAGAAAAGTTTGTATCTTTAATTACAGGTACATCTTCATATTTTTTCATTTATGCTCTGATAAACGTAATCATACTGATTGTTTCCTTAACCCATGAAGAGTAGTGGATTAAAGTGTGGTGCAAAATGATAAGAAGTTTGTTTCTGTTTTTCTCTTAGTACAAATCAGAAATAAATGAAATTCAAGGGCTTTTGGAAGTCACAGTACTGGGATCAAAACTTTATGACAGCTTATGGACATTGGTGATGACAACAAACATCATGCTTTTGTCTTAAAATTGTTTATAGGTAACCCACTATTAACCAGCAAAGTCAACGTTATAATAAATGTTCTGGATGTCAACGAGTTTCCTCCTGAAATTTCAGTTCCATATGAGACATCTGTATGTGAAAATGCCAAGTCAGGACAGGTATTTCAAATTTCTAACGTTTTCCTTGTTATTTACAGCAGTATAAATTTCTCCAGGACAGGTATTTCAAATTTCTAACTTTTTTCTTGTTATTTACAGCAGTATAAATTTCTGTGTTTGTCATCATGGTTAAAATTATTTTACAAATAAAATGTCTGTGTTGGAAATACCTTTTGGAATTCTGTTTGTTGACCTCTATGGTCTATTTACAGTCTATTTATTTTTATCTTCCCTCACTGTATGGACCTGAGTCAGCCTATACTGTGCATTTAATAGGTATGAGAGGAAAGAATCCCTTCCTTAAAGACACTAAAGTATAAGAGTAAAAATGCAGTGAATAAATGGAGAAAGATGGATTAAATACATTTCTTTGTCCTATTCTGAAAAAAAGAACCCACAACTCCAAAGACAATCCTCTTGAAAACTTGTTTTTATAAGCAATTTCAAATATATACATAGCATGCAAAACCTATTTCAGGTTCTGTACCATGAGCGATGCCAGTATTCTGTTTATAAGAGAAGACTTGTAACTCTTCAACTTTGAGAGTTACTGCCATCCATAGAAGGAACATATTCAGCTTGCTGCATAATCTGACTTCTCTTTATATGCACATAATACGTAATAGTCCATGTGATTTTTATTGCCTTTATTACAGATGTATCAATGACTGGATATGATGTTCCTGTCTCATTTTTTCCTATATGTTTCAGCTAACTGCCAACTAACCTAATTTAATCCTTAGTTTGTCAGATTATAGTTTTTCAGATACCCATAATTTCTTTTTTAGGCACTAACAGTAGAAGGGGGTACCTGTTACAGGATGGCTGAGACAAGCATTGAGCTTCAAAATTATAAATATTTAGACTTTAGTTATATAAAAAATGTCTTCCTTTTTAGAAGATCACTAGCAATTCCACTATGAAACATTTTAATTGCACTAGGCTTATCTGAAAGCTGGTAGATAAGACTCTGGGACCCAAAAGTTCCTTTATGCCTCTCTAGTCTGTTTAAAGCTGTAAAATTTGGGCAAAACTTTGTGAAGTACTACAACATGGACTGGTTGTAACAGTAATAGAATTAGTAGCAGATAAACTGAAGTGTAATCAGTCAACTGAAAGCAATCACTAGCATTTTAATACAAACAGCAAATGTAAAATACCATGAATACAGGGTAAATCTCTCTGATTTCCTTTAGATATGTCAAAGCAAGACCTTCTGAGACATCATGAGTTCTCTGGTGGCTGTAGTATTTCAGACTTCTTTCCTTCACTGTAGAGTGTATTAGGGGAATGAGAGTAATCCTGCTGGATTTCACTTCCATTGTTTCATTTGTTGTTCACCCTGCACTTCTGCAAAACTGCTTCCTTTAGAAGAGTGAAGTGACTTGAAAATTAATCTGGTTTCAGGTCATACAGACCATCACTGCAGCAGACAAAGATTTGTCACCAGCTGGGCAAAGGTTTTCCTTCAAACTGACATCTGAGGCTTCCAACAAACCAAATTTCACAGTCCATGACTACAGAAGTAAGTTGCTTACCCATATCCCTGTTTCAGAGCAGCAGGCTGTGGTTACAATAACAAATGTGTTAACTTTGAATTACCCTTGTGTCTACAGACCTAACTTTTTTATTTTACATTTCTAATTGCTAAACTATCTGGGACATATATTAATATAAATTCAGGTCTTGCACCTTTTCTCATTTTTAGGGGACAGGAATTGTCAGAACACCAAAGGCTGAGATTTCCCTACCGGCCTTCAAAAACACTGCCACCTGTTTTATTTTCTTCCTTTTATCATTCAGTATCTCAGGAAGAATCCATATGCCAAAGCAGGTATACTTTTAAACAAGGCACTGTTGCTGTCTTGTTTAAATACTATGACTTTGCTAACCATTTTCAAAGTACCCAGATATTGTGCTTTCTGGAGGATGCATAGTCCTGCAGAAGAATTAGTTCTAAATATGAACTGTGCTGCTGCAGTATAACATCCTGCAACATTGTTAATAATTTGTAGATTTATATAATTGATATCCCTGATTTTTCTTCCAAATTTTAAATATTCTGTAGTTTCACCAAGATCTTTTTTTTTTCAAATAATTGCAAACTTTTACTTTAAATAACATCTTCCAAGTCTTTGTAGGCCATTTTAACATATTTAATCAATCAAAAGAATCTTTAAACTTAAAATGTCTATACAGTAATTACAGTTTTTGTAAAGTATGTTTAGCATGTGAATTTGGTGAGGAAATTTCTCAAATATTATTAGATAATTAAATTTCCCTGTTTAAACCAGAAATGTTGACACTGAGATGACTTTGGACCTCAGTTATCTGTTTACAGAGTTTCACTACTGTATAAAAACAAGTGCAAAATTCCCATAAAAATGGAAAATTAGAAACCACCAAGACACACAATTTTTCATGCACAAATTTGTGTGTGTGTACATACCTATATGCACACTTAAAATCCACACAAAGTAAAAGGAAGAAAGAATCTTGGTTGAAATATAAGGGAAAAAAACTTTTGTGGAATATTTTCTAATCATAAAAGTCCTTTTTCACCAATAATGATTTAAAGAGCTATTAGGAAAAAATCTGTCCAAGCAGAAATTCTGTTTTGCAGTACTTCTGCCTTTTGTATACCAAAATAGGTGGACGAAGGTCTGCTTTGTGCACAATTTAGAGGCACAATAACATAATTTTGTTTTCCATACACAAATCTTTCAAAACCAATACATTACTTTTTAAGTTAGCAATTAGTACCAAGCAGGCAGTTTTTGAAAGGAATTTTTATATGTTTTGAGGAGACAGTCATGTTCACTGTGCTACAGATAATGCCTTTACAAGTAAAGGTGGCATTTAACATTTTTAAACATGCCCCAAAAGAAGCCTAAAATCCAGTGTTATTCTATACAACTAAAAATCATGGGTGTTCTGATACTACAACAGGTGTAATATGTTTGTGGTGCACCTAAGAGAATAAACCTTTCCAGGTCCCATACTTCAGAACATATGTGAATGACGAGTGGAGCAAGACAGAAGCTCAAGGTTGCCATTCAGCAGTGCTGAGACCAATCTGCCAGCAGCTAACAGAAGTGAGGCCCTGGCAGAGATGTAGTCCTTCCAGATGAACAGCACACCTTCCTTCTTCTGCTTTGCTGGCCTTACTCTGCTTCCTAGAAGGCAGCTTCCATGTGGAGCATACTCCATTGCTCCTCTCCAGACAGTCACATGGATTTATTGCCAACAGACTGAAGAATCAGAAGCTATCTCAGCTTCTCTAGGCTATTTTGTGTAGTTCAAACATTCCTGCACCCATATTTTCAAAAGGACCTTGAACAGTTGAAAGGGGTAATAGAAGAGAAACAAAAATTGTTCAAAGATGTAAGAGCTTGATCTGATTGATTCTTCTCAAAGGAGAATGGAAAATCATTTAGTTGCATTCAAACATGTACTAAAGTGATCTTCAGTGTTCCAGTTAGACAAAGTAAAAAGCAAGAAAATGAATAGAAATAATTCTAATAACAGAAAAAAAAAAAAAAAAAGAAGAGTAATAAGACTGAACTGAATGTCTTCCAATTAGATCTAAAGCTCTTTATACAGTGCAGATGATTAGCCATAGAAGGAACAAGCTAGATGGAAAGTTGGAAATCAGTTTGATTCAAACAGTTTTGAGACATTTTTCCTTTACAAAACTAACTGTAACTGAACTTGACTTGTCCATGTTTGAGTTTGATAAAAAGGGACATCTGAAGCATTTTGTCAGTCAAGTGCCTTTTCAATGGTATCTAATTATAATATATCTGATTTTGGATATTTAGGGTTTCTTCTTATTGCCCTTAATCAGAATTGCACATGAGTATTTGAGTATGGAATTCAGAGCCCTTAATCCTTCTACCTAGTGACAAAATTCCAGGGGATGAAAGTCATCAGGACAACAAATGATGCCTTCTATAAATATAATAAAGAGTATGGGTGAGATTGCAAAATGGTCACTGCTGTGGGCTACCCTTATTCAGAACTGTCAGCTAATTAATTCCCTGCTAAGTTATTTTTGGTTTTATTGTAAATGTAATTCTTTTAATCTGTACAGAATTTCCTCATAACTCCTAGGAGCTGACTAATCAATAGAAACTGTACTGATTTTGAAGTACTTGCTTAATTTCTCTACTTATTTTTGATGATGCAGGAAGGGTAAGGTGATTACATTTTGTCCAGATATATTACTTTAATTTTTAAGGGAAATTAATTAATTGATAGAGACATGATTCTAAATCCATGTGCAGTCAAAGTCCTTTGGACCACAGACTTGGCATATAAGGAGGCAAGGAGAAAAGAAAAGCTGAAAAGCCTTCCTAATCTTATACCTGTAATGCTTTGTGGGTTTTTTTTAAAATTATTATTATCTTCTTTAAAACTTCTGCTGTTAAGATAGCAGATTCACAAGAAAAGGAATATTATTTAATGCTCTAAAAAAATATATAACTGTACCAGTCAGAATACTATACCTTCTGAAATGATAAAGAAGGCAATTGCCTAATGTGTGTCATTCACTGAGTTTCAAATATTAAATAGCTGCCTATTACTAAGGGTGATACAAGCTACAATATGAATTGAAGTACACAATAAAAATCTGGTAATGACTGTGTTATGTTTTACAGACAATACAGCTGGGATTGAAACCAGGAGAAATGGCTACAGCAGAAGGCAGCAAGAGCTATACTTTCTTCCAATAGTAATAGAAGACAGTAGTTATCCTGTCCAGAGCAGCACAAACACATTGACTATCCGTGTTTGCAGATGTGATTCTGATGGTACCATCCAGTCCTGCAATGTGGAAGCAATCTTCTTACCAGTCGGCCTCAGCACAGGAGCACTGATTGCAATCTTGTTGTGTATTGTTATACTTCTAGGTTAGTTTTCATGAAACTCTGTGAAGTGCATTATTCTGATTATTCATCTGTGAATTGATTTCTGTTAGTATTTAACATAAGCTATTGAAAATGTTTGGCAGTTTATTTCTAGAAAAGCATCTCAAAGCACTGACATGACCATAAATCTGCCAGCACATGCAGCATTTCTTATTGCATGAAGAGAACCAGCTTTCAGTGGAATCCAAGTCATATTTATTCTCTGAAATAGTTTCAAATACCTTTCTTGGAAGAAATCTTTTTTTTTAGATTATGACTAAAGTAGACAGGTCCTACTGACAGTAACAGCACTAAGGAGTTAGTAAGACCCTTTATTTAATTCTTCATGCCAACTTGATCAAAAGGAGAACTAACAAATGAAAGAGGAGATAATAATTGTCGTAGAGACTGTGACTGGCTAGACCCATATAAAGTTTCACAGGAAGAATTACATTTCAGTCATGGATTCCATAAGATGGCATTGTTATTTGATCTACCTTTTATTTAAATACTGCCTTATTTAGAGCATGCTCAAAGCAGTCAATACTTATGTGCATCCTACTTATAATCAACTGACAATGAAATAAAACCATCTTTGTAGCTTACACAGGTGGTTTTAGCATAATAGCTGAGGTTGTAAGACGCTTCTGGACATCATCTAGTCCAACCTCCCTGCTTAGAGGAGGATCAGCTGCAGCAGATTGCTCAAGGACAAATCCAACTGGGTTTTGAATATCTCCAAGGATGGATACACCTCAGTTTCTCTGGGCAACACGATCCACTGCTTGACAGCCTGAACATTTTTTCTTACATTTTAATGGATTTTTCTACATTTGAATTTGTGTCCATTGCCTCTTGTTCTGTCACTGGGCACCACTGATAAAAGTCTGGCTCCATCTTTACTTCCATTTAGTAAGTATTTATACATATTGATAAAATCCCCCCTGAGCCTTCTCTTCTCCAGGCTGAACAGGCCCCGCTCTCTTAGCCTCTCCTTGTATAGTAGATGTTCCAATCCCTTAATCATTCTTTGTGGCTCTACATTGGACTCACTCCAGAGAGTCAGTATCTGTCTTGTAATGTGGCGTTCAGAACTGGACACAGAACTCAAGTATGCCTGACCAGAGCTGTGCAGAGGGAAATGGTCATCTTTGTGGAAGAGCTGACAATGCTTCTCCTAATGCAGTCCCAAATGCTGTTTTTCTTTGCCAGAAGGGCACATTGATGGCTCATGGTGAACTTGTCCACCAGGACCATAGGGCCTGGTCTGTCAAGCTACTTGTTGGTCACTTAACTAACAGCATCTACAGAATGCAGTTACTCCTGTCCATGTGTGGGACTTGGAATTTCCATTTGTTGAACATAATGTCATTCCTTTTGGCTCATTCCTGCAGCCTGATGCGATCCCTTTGAATGTTGGCACAACCCCTTCTGTATCACCCGCAAACTTGCTGAGAGTGCACTCAATCCCATGACTCAGATAATTTATGAAGATTCTAAACAAAACTAGTCCCAGTATCAATCCCTGAGGTACATTGTTAGTGTCTGAGCTCAGTCTGGTCTTTGGAATTTTGATCACGTCTTTTACAGTCTGGCAGTTTGGCCAGCTTTGCAATCCACCTCACCGTATACTTGTCTAGTCCACACTTTCTCAGGTTTTCTGAGAAGGTTGCTATGGGAGACAACATCAAAAGCTTTGATAAAGTAGGATAAAATTAATGCACTTTTCTCCCTTCATCCACCAGTCACACTGTAGAAGGCTATCAGGCGAGTTAAGCACAACTTCACCTTCATAAACCCATGCTTGCTAGTCTTTTTCTCCTTTCTAATTTCCAGAATTATTTTCTCAATCACTTTCCTCAGGATGGCTGACCTGTAGTTTCCTAGCTCATTCTTCATGCCCTTCTTGAAGATAGGGGTGACACAGCCCTCAGAAACTCCTCCCAGATGCCATGACCTTTCAAAAATTATCACAAGTAACCTCACAATGACATCGATCATCCTCCTCACCATTCATGTGTGCATCCCATCAGTCCCATGCACTTGTGTGCCCAGTTTGTTTAATGATTCCCTAACTTGATCCTCTTCCACCAAAGGTAAATCTTCCTTGTTCCAGACTTACTGCCTGGTCTCAGGGACCTGGAATTACTGAAGGACTACTTTACCAATAAAGACAGGGGCAAAGAAGCTGTTGACTCAGTTGGACTTTTTTCCATGTCATTTCTCAACAGCTCCCCTGCCCCCTTCAGCAGTGGGCCCACCTTTTTTCTGCCTTTTGTTTTGTTTTGTTGCTGTCTTACTTGTATAAGCCCTTCTAGTTGCCCTTCATGTACCTTGTGAGACAGTGCCAGATGGGCTTTGTCTTTCCTAACTGCATTCCT